GGGGGCGGTGCTGGGGGCTGGCTGTGGGGGAGGGGCGAGGGGTGGGGCTGGGAGGCTGCTGGAGTCACGCTGTCTCCAGCTACTGGGACTGAGTGGGTCTGGGGCGTCGCGGGAGGCCTTCCCCGAGGTTGTCGCGGTTCCTCTTGGCCGCAGGGGCGTTGGAGCCCGTCCAGGGCAAAACGCTAGCGTGGCGTCCTGAGTTGTTGCTGACACTCAAGTGTGGTCGGTAGAACAGCTTCCTTCGTCTCCCGACCGACTTTTCCTACGTTTTTGGGTTAAAACGTATCGAAATGATGGTGATGGTGGTCAGCACCCTGGTTGTTCTTCATAAGGCGGAGAAAGTCGTCCCCACCCTGTCCCAGTTGTCGTGAGGACTTGACATTTTCTGGTCTGAGAAACCCAAGTGGCTCGGAACACTGATTTACACTCCGGCGGAACATCCCGTGCATGCCAGGCTCTGGGGGTCTCAGCCAATAAGGGGCCCGGGGCTCATGCTCATGGACAGGGTGGTGTGGGCTCCAAGACCCTGAGCCGGGGAGCCAGTGGGGCCCGCGGACAGAGCTGACGTGTTTGGGACAGTCCAGAGAACCTTGTGAAAACGTCAAAGGCTGGAGCAATTGTGCTGCCCCTTCAGCAGGTGAACAGATGGACGAACTGGCCCACGCAGGTGACAGACAGACCGTGGCCCATCCGGCACTAAAAACGGGCCATCGAGCCGCACAGAGACACGGAGGAGCCTCAGACGCACAGCACTGGGTGACAGAAGCCAGGCTGAGGAGGCGACACACGGGGTGGTTCCAAGTCCAGGATGTTCTGGACAAGGCAGGACCACGGAGGCACGGCTGCCGGGGTGGGGGAGGGTGAATGGGGGGAGCACAGGAATTTCGGGGCCGTGGGTCTACTCCGGACGACACCGTGGTGGTGGGCAGGTGTCCGTGACATTCGTCAGAACCCACGGGGTGTGCCGCACCAGGAGTGACCTCGTGTCCGCTGTGGACCGTGGTTCGTCACGTTCGGTGCTGGGTGGGGATGTCGATAATGGGGCCAGCAGTGCGTTTATGGGGAGAAAGTGCTGCAGGGAATCCTGCTAGGTGGCCAGGGTCGAAATGGCTACTTACAATAGACCTGAGGAGTCCTGTAGAAGGGAAGTTTGTGTCCTTTGTTCGAAATTAAATTCTCTAACGAAGAAGGTGCAGAGAGGGCATCGTCCATTTCAGTGCTTGGTTTGCTGTTTGAGAGTCCGAATCACGCTCGCCCCTCCGATTTCTTTCTTTTTTACTAAACGTCAAGGATACGTAGCTATTCGTACCTTAGGCTTTAAGCTCTTTCTAACGTATGTTTTTAATAGCGTTGTCTGGACGCAGATCCCGACCCGCCCGCCCACCCTGACCAGCCTGTTCCTTGTTAGTGATGTTGCGTGTAAATGAGAGACTAACGTGGCCACGGGGCTCCGCTTTCCTTCCTTCGACTTGCTGCGACCCCGTTCGAGGTCAGTACCGAATCCTCGTGCGTGAGCACGTGCTCTCCGGTCCTTCGTCACCTCCCTGCCTTTCCCAGGTGCGCGGGCCGCGAGCCAGGCGCCTCCTCTGTACCCACAGCTCCAGTTCAAGCAGGCTCATGTGTCCCTCCCCCCGGGAGTGCCCCGAGGTGCAGGGACAGATGTCATCGGCCTGGCCCGTTCAGCCAGTGCAGCACGTGGCTCTTGATCTGCGACTTTGAGCCCCACGTTGGGCATAGCGATGACCTAAATAAATAAATAAATAAAGATTTTCTCCTAATTTTCAGTTTTTGGCCGTTTGACTTGGGGATGTGTGGGTGTGGTTTTCTTTTAGTTTTCTGTTGGTTGGTGCTGAGCTTCGTGAACCTGTACGTGTACATCTCTCACTACATGTGGGGGAGTTTCAGCCATTCTCGTTTCAGATGTGTTCTCTGTCCCGCCCTTCCTTTCCTGGGACACCGGTTACATGCCTGTCCTGCCGCGTGCTCTTGTCCCACAGACCTGGGGCCCTGCCCCTCTTTTCTCGAACTTTTCTCCCCTTCAGACCGGACGGTTACCATTGTCGCACCTTCAGATGCGCTGACTTCTCTCTCCAGCTCCCATTTGCCTTCAGTCCATTCCGTGCATTCTTCGTTTCAGAAATCATCTTTCTAGAACCTCCGCTGGCTTATTTCCTGCCACTTGTGTTCGCTGAGATTTCTCCTCCTCTCCTTCTTGGTGAACGCCTCCTTTTTCCTGGTTCCTGGGAGCACGGTCACAGGGGCCGAGCTGAACCCTTCGTGTGCTAATTCTATCCTTTGGGCTACCTCAAGGCCAGTGTTCGTGGATCGTCTCTTTTTCTGGGGTACGGGTGACATGGTCCCGTTTCTGGTTTTGAGTAGCTTCAGACCGAATCCTGGACGTTGTGACTGACACGTTTTTGGAGGCTCCAGACTGTGTTATCTTCTCTGAGGCGTGTTGACTGGGGGGCAGGGTTACTTTAAGGGGCAGTTAGCTTGTTGTCTGGGCTGAGACTCCAGCTCTGCCCTCCTCGCTGCGGGCAGGGGGCGGGTGTGGTTGTGTTCGTTTCTTTTTGCTTTAGCTGGAGCTCTGGGGTCAGCCTCGGATTCGGGCTGAGTTTCTATGTTAGCGTGTGGGCAGCATCGCCGCCCCACCAGTCCCCCGCCCCCTGGGATTTCCTTCCTTGAGTGGCAGCTGCCCTGTGTTCTGGTTCTGGAAGCCAGGAGCCCCAGGCCTTGGCTGCTCTGTGGGGTGCTTGAGATAAAAGCCAGGAGAGACATTACCCGGTGCCTTTGTCTCCAGATAGTCGTTTTAAAGCCGTACCTGGGGGAGCCTGGGACTGATGGGAGCTCCGTGGACGGCGGCAGAAGTGGACTCCGCCTGGCTCTCCCGAAAGCCGGGGTGGGGAGGTCCCTAGACTGTGTGCAAACGCGTCAGCGGCAGCAGAACATTTGAGTTCGTGCTTG